GTTAAAGTATTGTCTATTTTGTATTTTTTTACCCTAAAATCGGATAACAATTGAATTTATACGTGGTTTCAAGGATATGCGATATAACCTGATACAAATTAAGAAGAATAGATTAATATTGAAATTGACGATAAAAGAATAAATGCAAACCACACGAATTGAATAGCCTTGGCCCTCGAGTTCAGTCACCCTTGAACCAAAAGATGTTTCAAATGACGTATGAATAGAGTAACAAGATAATGGAAGCTAGAAAATGATAATATATTACTTTGAATTGCGTAAAATGTGATCCCTTTTACAAATGATCAGATCCCCTTTATATAGTAGGAGAGTCCTACTCTTGATACATTCCTATATGAGGTAGGAAATCTCATGATTAGCTAATTAATCGGCCTCTTCTTGATATGTGCTGGGATTTTCGTCATGATCCTATCCCAATTGCGGATATTTCGGCTTTTCGTTGTTTGGCTCGGTAAGTTTCCCTCGATCTTGCTCAGTCTCTATCTTGCTCGATCTCGATCTTGATTGGTCTATGGGTCACGAGCTCAACGATCTAACTTTGCACCATGGTTCGATATAACACGAGGTCAAACCTTAACCTATCATATTCCAGTCTCGATTAGTCACACTAAGGGAGAGCCCGATTTTGAGCGTATACAAATATTCCCCTCGTTTCTCGGAGAGAAGATGACGAGAAATGATATGACCTTCCGAATCCCGCCTCGATGGTCCATGACGTAAGCGACGAACGGTCACTGAGACACCCGACTATGACGTAAGCAACAAATGAATACTGAAACGTCTCGTCGGTCTGGTAAACAAGGCATTAAATGCCTATCAGTTGCTTGTCGGCAATTATGGCTTCTGAACCGTCACCAGCAAGCTAAGTACCCCAACTTTTCTTTATTCAAACTTTACGTTCAAAGCTCCTCCTATTCTTGTTTTTTAAGAAATCCATTTGCTTTGCAATTCTTGCATCCAAATTTCTTGAACTCTCAGCAAACTGCATACTTTTCTAAATCCCTTTTTTGTGTTATACAATGGCGAAATCTTCTATGACTGCACCGCAAAAGGAGGCCGCTTCTTCACCACGGCCCGCTGGCGACGGAGCTGCGGCGGAACATCACCTTGAGGAATTCATTCCGGCGGGGTGCCCTACTGTTGCTGATTTTACGATTGAAAAGACCTCCTCGGTACCGGGCCGATGTGAGTCGGTCTCGAGGTACATATGCACAATTACCGATGATCTCCTCAACAAGGTTAAAGAGGATTACAACTGGGTCGATAAGCATGTGGTGGTACCTTTTCCCAAGGAATCAATCACTACCCGCGTAGAGGGTTTTCTAAGTGTTTACACTTACCCCTTCACGTTGGGTCCCTTAGACCCTATCATCGTTTCCTTCTGCAAGAGGTACGACGTGACCCTTAGCAGGATCCACCCTTCCTTTTGGAGAATAGTGATTCTCCTCCGATTCTTCGTAAATAAAATCGTGGGATGTCCCTTTACCCTCAATCACCTTATGAGCCTTTAGAGTCCCCAACTCTATCGAGGAGGGCTGATCAAGCTTGCTCGCCGGGCCATCAGGCCCCGTTCTCGAGTATAGACGAGGCTCAGGACCGAGGTTGGATGAGCCGATTTGCTCGAATAAAGACTTCAGACATGATCCCTGCTGAAGACATGACATTTCCTGAGAAATGGAACACGAATCGTAAGTAGTACTTCACCTTGAATGTTTAATTTTGTTGTTTTACCTCTTATCTTTTTCCTTATTGATGTTTTTGGTGTTGCAGTTGTGACCTAAGTGTCGGACGTAGTTCCTGAACTCAAGTAACGGGTTGAGGGTCTGGTGTCATAGAGACCATATTCCGAGCATGCTTGGATGGAATTATCGAAGGGTCGATGGGAGGCCCGTAATCATGTTAAGTTTTCTCCTCTAATTCAATTCCGTTTGATTTTGTCCTCGTACTGTTGAATTCTTATCTACTCTATTTCTTTTTGTAGGTCTCCCTAAAGACGTTTCTGTGAGGCCTCCATCCGGTGATGAGGATGTGCCTCTCAAGTCCCCTGCTCCAAAGCAGGGTGATGAAAAGAAGAGGAAAAGGACCCCGAGTTCCCCGAACTCGGAAAAGATGAAACCAAAGAAGAGGTCGCGCAAGCCCAAGGGAAGCACCGGCGCTCTATCCTCGGACTCATTCAGCCGATTAAGGGACGAGTCTGAAGAAGAAGAAGAGGAAGAGAAAACCCAGTTGGTGGCCCGTGTGCGGGCAGGTGTTGCCATGCAAGGGTCCTCTGGACCGGCGAATGCCGAATCGGACCGTCCCGACATGAGGAGGTCGACGAGGGTGTCTTAGCCGAAGCTCCCGAACCAGAAGGGGTTGAGGCTACTCCGCCCCAAGCTAAGAGGGTCGAGAGAGAGACTAGGGGCGACGCTTTTCGAGCAGAGGAAGGTACCCCGAGAGACGAGCATGGGGCGATCGACATTACCGGTTCCTCTCAGTTTTCAGACGCCATGATTCGCGAGGCCGGTATGTTAGAAAGTTGTTCCTACGAGGGGCTTCAGGGGGCGACTGATATCTACCACTTCTTGGACGGATTTGAGTCCACTGCTTCGGAAGATGTCATCGGGCTTGGTGATTTGCTGGTGCCAAGGAAGGTACCGTCATCGGGTGCCACTGGGTCATTATCGAGCCCAAAACTTGTGGATCGATTCCCGGCCCCAAGTGTTAACCCTGACCGCTGGCGGTCGATAACTTTTTCTATCCCGGAGGATGTCGAGATTTTCTCTACGCCGGTAAGGGTTGCTAGCTACCTCCGTTGCTTGGTGACCGAGGAGGACCAGGCCGTGATGGATGCGGTGGAAGTGCCTTTCCTATTCAATGAGGCCCAACATGCTTTGAATCGGGTAACTTCGAGTGCCGCTTCATTACTTATTTTGAATTTTGAAGTTGTCAATAATCCTAACACCTTTCTTATTGTTTGCAGGACTCGACATTGCATCATGAGGCTTTTCTCCGAATCTGGGAGGAGTTAACCTAGCACGAGGTTGAGGTTGGGGAGCTCACCGAGAATAGGGATACTTACAAGTTTCTAAGTGAGAAGCTTCTAGCCGAGTTAGAAGTGGCTCGGAGAGAGCATGCCGAGATGGACGAGCAGGTATTTAGAGTGCTTCACGATAATGAAGACAAAGTGAAGATAGTGACTAACGATCCGATCGTGCAGGTCCGGCAGGGGTTTGACAGATCGGGCAGCTTCAGGCACAGGAGGATACAATTCAAGTTGAGGCTGAGGAGTTCAAGAAAACACATGGACATCTTAGCCTCGAAAAAGGAAGTTGTCCAAGAACAAGTAGAGTCGGCTGAGACCCAACTCTGAGCTGCAAAAGAGAAGGCCTTGGTGCAGGTCAAGAAAATCGAGGAGCTTCAATATCAATTCGACTTGGCTATCTCGTATAAGGAAAACATGGCTAATGCACTCGAGGCGGCCAAATCTGAGGTGGTCGTGGCCAATACCAAAGCCGTTGCTAAAGTGGCCCAATTAAAGATCGATCTCGAGGCCATCCAAGCACAGGAAAAGAGCATGGTGGATCATGCAAGGTGGCAAGCTCGAAGGGAAGCCCTCGAGGTAGTCCATGCTCAGGATGCCAAAGCAGAAGAAGCTAGGGCCCGAAAGCTGGCCTTTCCCGAGGAAGATTCCGAGAGTTTGAGTGAGTGTGAAGGAGGGGAAGATTCCAAGGGCGGAGATGCTGCCTCCGATAAAGACCAGGTCACTTAGCCCTTTATATTTTTCGCTTTCTTTTGCATATTTTTGAGGCTGTTTCGGCCATTGTAAATTGTTGAATTAAGCCATTCTGGTCTCTGTAAAAAGAATATTGGGTAAATATATACAAGGCTTTCTTTTCCCCTTTGGCTTTCAAATTTTTCCTTTGCTTTATTACTTGTATTCACAAAGGTTTGAATGCCTTAGCATAAAATAACTTAGGTTGTGTAAGTTCGAACAAACCCTGCCTTCACATTATTTTTATTTTTGAGGTGTCTTGGAGGTTCGATGTTACCGGGAACCTTCTCCCAAAGTAAGTAACTCAGATCATAGTTTTCCAAGGGTAGCCTTTAAAACCGGTTATGAAAATTTCAAAGGCCTATTTTTTTTTTACGGTTCTCGGCGTCTCTGAGCCGTATTAATATGGACGCAACCTTTTAGTACGGGTGTAGCCCAGTGAGCTTTCTTTCCCAAGTTATCTAGGCTTGTCTAAGATAACAGTCCCCGAGTGGGTATGGTCGTGGCCTTAAAAATTCGGGTGTTGCCTAAGAGGTCTTATGCCCCCGATGTTTAATAGTTTGTTCTGTTCGAGTTTGTTTTTTGGACGGCAGGCCCTGAGTGAGGGAGTGATCATCCGAACTTTGGTTATAATAGGCCCTTGAGCCCGTTTCCTTAAGAAATAAAAAGTACGAAATTGTAAAGAGGAAATTTTTCTAAGACATGAGATAATTGTAAGGAAAGCTCTTCTCTTTATTCTTGTGAACAACAGTTATACATGTGTACATATTTTATGCCAGGGCTCGAGCAACTTATTTGGGCACAGTTTGTTGACCGTTTGGCCCTTACAACAAATCCTACCTACCGAGACCCTTCTATTACGAAGTAATTTCTTCGCAAAAATTGCCATCGGAGGGTAATGCCCCCTAGTATTCGAGGTTGATTGCAGAGGAACCTCGGATACTGTTAATGCTATCTTCGACACTGCTTCGTGATCGGCCCTTGATTTTAAGTTAGCACGATCCAGTGTTGCCTCGTTAAAAACCTTGCCGAAAACCCAATTGGAACAAAAATGGTTCAAGGGAAAAAGAGTGCAACGTGTGATTTCTGACCTAAAGATTTCGTGCCACACCTTGTCGACCACATGCAAGTGTTAGTCCAAAAATAAAAAGAAATGAAATGGGGTCGTACCTTAGCAATAATAGCGTTTTAGGTGAGTTACCTTCGAATTTTTCGGTAGTTGTTCTCAGTTTATCATTCCGAGCTTATAGGATCCTTTCCCTGTGACCTCGAGAATCCGGTATGGTCCTTCCCAGTTCGGACCCAATTTCCCTTCGTTCGGATTTTGGGTGCTTAGTGTGACCTTCCTTAGTACTAACTCCCCGATATTGAAGTATCGAAGGTTGGCTCTTCGAATGTAATACCTCTTGATCTGTTGCTTTTGTGCGGCCAATCGAACAAGGGTGGCTTCACGTCTTTCATCCAACAACTCCAGGCTCGTATTCATGGCTTTGTCATTTGATTCCTTTGTTATGTATCGGAATCTGATACTTGGCACCCCGACTTCGACTGGTATTAGAGCTTCGGTGCCATAAACCAATGAGAACGAGGTAGCCCCAGTACTCGACTTCGAAGTTGTGCAATATGCCCAAAGAACATCAGGCAGGATCTCTTTCCATTATCCCTTAGTGTCAGTCGACCTTTTCTTAAGGTTTTGGATTATGGTTTTGTTTGTCGATTCGGCTTGTCCGTTCCTACTAGGATAATAAAGTGTCGATAAGATCCTTTTGATCTTATGATCTTCGAGACATTTGGTCACTTTACTTCCGATAAATTGTTTTCCGTTGTCACATGCAATTTTGGACGAAATATGATGTGGTCCCAAGTGAAGTCGATGACTTCCTTCTCCCTGACCTTCTCGTATGCCTGTGCTTCAACACACTTAGAAAAATAGTCAGTCATAAATAAGATAAATTGAGCCTTACCTGGTGCCCATGGAAGAGGGTCGACGATGTCCATCCCCTATTTCATGAATGCTCCTGGCGATAAGACCGAATGCAACAACTTCTCTGGTTGGTGAACCATCGGATCATACCTTTCACACTTGTCACATTTTCGTACGATCTTTTTCGCATCCTTTTCCATGTCGATCCAGTAATAACCGGCTCTGATCACTTTTTGAACCAATGATTCGGCGCCTGAATGTTTTCCGCAAGTGCCCTTGTGAACTTCCCTTAGAATGTATTAGGTATCTCCCGGTCCCAGACATATTTCTAGTGGACCATCGAACATTCTCCTGAACAAGGTTCCATCCTCGGACAAGCTGAATCGGGCTGCCTTTGTGCGTAGGGTCCTCGATTCCTTTGGATTTGAGGGAAGTTTCCCAGTCTTCAAATACTCTACGTATTTATTTCTCCAATCCCAGGTTATGCTTGTGGAGTTTATTTCAGCGTGACCTTCCTCTACTACCGACCTCATGAGTTGTAAGACCGCCCCAGAGTTGAGCTTTTTTTCTTTGACCGATGACCCTAAGTTTGCAAGGGCATCGGACTCACTATTTTGATCTCGAGGTATGTGTTGCAAAGTCCACTCTTTGAACCGAGGTAATGCAACCTGTAACTTGTTTAGGTATCTTTGCATTCGTTCTTCTCCGACTTTAAATGTTCTGTTAACTTGGTTTACTACGAGGAGGGAGTCAAACTTAGCTTCAATCACCATCGCCCCAAGCCTTTGTCTAGTTCGAGACCTGCAATTATGGCCTCATATTCGGCCTCGTTGTTAGTCAATTTTACAGTTCTAATGGATTGTTTATTAACTATATTGCCTATGGGTGGCTTCAGTACGATGCCATGTCCGGACCCCTTGATGTTAGAGGCACCATCCGTAACGAGGGTCCAGGTTCCCGAAGTCGTTCCTGAGTTTACAAACAACTCTCTTTTGACTTCGGGTATTAGGGCCGGCGTAAAGTCGGCCACGAAATATGCCAAAATTTAAGATTTAGTGGTTGTTCGGGGTTGATATTCGATATCGTACCCATTGATTTCTATGGCCCATTTGGCCAATCGTCCCGAGAGTTCGGGTTTATGCATTATATTTCGTAAAGGGTAGGTTGTCACAAAGCGAGTGCCAATTTTTCTAGGTGAGGATATCTAGTTCCGGCCTTACCTAACGTCCTGCTAACATAATAAATTGGAAATTGTGTACCTTGTTCTTCTCGGACTAGGACTCCACTTACCGCTATTTTTGATCAAGATACAAGTATAGTCGTTCGTCTGCCCTCGGTGTGTAAAGCAATGGAAAGCTCAATAAATATCGCTTAAGTTCTTCTAAATCCCGTTGGCATTCCGGGGTCCATGTAAAGTTGTTTTTCTTCTTCGGCAACGAGAAAATTGATGGCTTTTTATCAGAAGACCTCGATGAATCGCCCCAAAGGCTTCAATGCACCCGGTTAACCTTTGTACGGCCTCGACATTATCCGCTACTGTGATATCCTAGATAGCTTTGATCTTGTCGGGGTTGATCTCGATTCCTCGATTGGACACCATAAACCCGAGGAATTTACCTGATCTAACTCCGAACGCGCACTTTTCTAGATTCAGCTTCATGTTGTACTTCTTCAATATACTAAAGTTTTCCTGCAAACGCTTTAAATGGTCCTCTGCTCGCAGGGACTTAACAAACATATCGTCAATGTAAACTTCCTTGGATTTCCTATTTGTTCTTCGAACATTCGGTTTACTAGGCGTTGGTAGGTGGAACCGGCATTTTTTAACCCAAACGGCATCACGTCATAGCAGTATGTGGCATATTTGGTGATGAAAGAAGTTTTTTCTTGATCATTCGGGTTCATCCGTATTTGATTGTACCCATATTAGGCATCGAGAAAACTAAGGATCTCGTGGCCGGCCGTGGCATCCATCATGCGATCGATGTTAGGCAAAGGGAAAGAGTCTTTGGGGCACGCCTTATTTAAATCTTTATAATCCACACACATTCTTAGTTTGTTCCCTTTATTAGGAACTACTACTACATTTGCTAACTATTCCGGGTATTTGACCTCCCGAATGGACCCTATTTTAAGGAGTTTAGTTACCTCGTCCTTGACGAAGGCATGCTTGATCTCAGACTAGGGTCTCCTTTTCTGTTTTACCGGACAAAACTTCGGGTCCAAGCTCAACTTGTAAGTAGTGATCTCTAGTGGGATCCCTATCATATTGCGATGGGACCAAGCAAAACAATTCATATTAGCTATAAGAAATTGAATGAGCTTTTTCCTGAGCTTGGGAGTTAACCCCGTGCTCAGGTATACCTTTCGATCGGGCAGATGTTCGGTCACCACGACCTACTCCAGCTCTTCGACCGTTGATTTAGTAGCGTTGGAGTCATCGGGAGCTATAAAGGATTGAGGAACCGCGTAATCGTCGTCTTCGTCAATCCCTTGCTTGTCCAGTTGAGTCGAGGCTGGCATCGGTGATTTCTATTTAGCTTCCTTTTTTGCTTTCGAACCTAAGTCCTTTGTCGACGAGAATGTTGATATCAGAATTACTTCATCGACGACAAATATCTCTTTTGCGGCGGGTTTCTCTCCGTAAACCATCTTTATCCCTTCTAGAGTTGGAAATTTTAATACCTGGTGAAGGGTCGAGGGCACATCCCTCATGTTATGGATCCATAGCCTGCTGAACAGGGCATTGTACCTCATGTCCCCTTCGATTACATAAAACGTAGTCTCTTGGGTGGTACCGGCTATGTTTACCGGCAACGCTATTTCTCTCTTAGTGGTTTCACAAGCCATGTTGAATCCGTTTAGTACTTAGGTCGCGGGTACGATTTGGTCCTTTAGGCCGAGTTGCTCTACCACCCTCGATCGAATGATATTGGCGGAGCTACCTGGATCAATTAGCACACGTTTAACTCTAGTTTTATTCATGAGTACAGAAATTACCAGTGCATCATTATGGGGTTGCATGATTCCTTCTGTATCCTCGTCGTTGAATGATAAAGTTCCTTCTGGTATGTAATCTTGAGTTCATTTTTCTCTTGTGATTGATACTTTGGTGCGCTTTATCATTGAACCTTGGGGAACATTGACCCCTCCGATGACCATACGAATGACGTGTTAGGGCTTGTCTTGCTCATTTTGTTTATTGGAATCCCAGTTTTTGAAATAATTCTTGGCTCGGTCACTCAGAAATTCTCGAAGGTGCCTGTTGGTGAATAACTGGGCTACTTTTCTTTCAATTGTCGACAATCCTCCGTTCTGTGGCCATGTGTGCCATGATATTTGCATATTTGGTTGGGATCCCTTTGTGTTGGATCGGTTTGTAAAGGTAGAGGCCACTTGGTATCTTTGATGCGTCCGATAGCCAATATGATGACGCCGCATCAACATTAAAGTTGTACTCTGATAATCCTGGTGCCTCTTTGGGTCCGATAGTCTATCGAAGCCGTTCTTACTCATAAGCCCTCAAGAGTTTTGGCCCTGATCATTTCTCCTTTCATTTCGTGCAGAATTTTGCCCAGATCCATTGCTCATGCGATCTCCATTATACGGCTGATTTCGATCTCTGTTCGACCTCTATTCTCAGTCAATATCCCTCTTGATTCTATCGAGGGAACTGATAGGATAAACGGAACCAGTAGGAGCCCAAGTTGATCGTCCTCAACCCTGATCTTTGATTGATACCGATTATGCACATCAGCCCAAGTAACAGCCGGGTATTCTATCAAATTCTACTTCAACTACTGTGAAGCCACTGAGCTTCGAACATTGAGTCGTTGAGTGAAATCTTGAATAGCACAATCCTCAGCGACTGGTGGCATGTCCATCCATTCTATTTGGAATCGAGACACAAATTTCCTGAGCATTGATGTCGCCCAAACTCACACCACAAATATAGGTAGTGAGGCGGTCGAAGCAATAATAAAACACAACGTGAGTCGAGGTCGAATCATCGGGGAGTTAAAATTGGGATTAGGTATATATTTAGTGCAATTGTATGATGTGCCTCAAATTACACATCCACATTCTTGTTTGTTGTTTTAGTTCTACTTTAAGCTATTGATTGCAAATATAAAACTAGGAGAAAATATTTTTGGTTATGGTTGTTTTTCAAATGATAAAAGATCTAGGATCATGACTTCCACCTAGGTGGTTACCTAACAGGTTGTAAACTCTAGGGCAAGTTTGATTAGCCGGGGTTGTAATATAGCAATCACACGCAATTACCCACTCTATACCTCTCGGTAGTTTGAGTGATTTTGCCCAATTTGGTTTTCTCAAGTCTAAATGGGTATTGCACAAAACAAGTGATATATGCTCAAGTCGGGTCTCATTATCTCTAGATTTGATACTTTAATTAGGCTATAAATTTCTTGCGTTCACCCTCATTCCTTGTTAGCCAAGTTTTCCTAGGCTTAGTCTCTGTTTCTCAAGTAGAGACTAAGTCAGATAAGCATGAATCAATGTTTGCAACCATTAATTCTTGAATTCAAGCATGAACAAGGCTAAATATCACTAACTCAATCACAAACAAGCCCTAAATCAAATACCCATTAAGTACCCACACTAGGGTTGGGCCACAACCCTAGCTAAAAATTTAACTACTCATGAAAAATGAAGAAACTAAAGAAGAAATTAAGATAGAATGCATAATAATTGATTAGAGAAAGAAAATCTAACGTTTAGAAGTTAATCTAGTACACAATTACTCAAAACAGTAACGAAAACGGCTCAGGTGCTCTCCCCAAAACTAAACTTAACCTAAAAATGACAAAAAAGTTCTATTTATACTAAGCTAAAAGTATCTAACAAAAATGCACCTGCGGAGGTTGTGCGGACCGCACAGTTCTGAGTGCGGCAGCACTCTTGCTTATGCGGCCGCATAATTATAGTGCGGTCCGCACTCCTTGAACTTGAGCTCTGGCTTTTTCGGGACTTCTGCGGACCGCACTATTCTGGGTGTGGCCGCGCTCTTGATTATGCAGCCGCATAAAAATGGTGCGGTCCGCATTTCTTCTTGATTCTAAAATCCCTTCTCTGTGATTCTTATCTTTTGCGGACCGCATAATTTTGAGTGCGGCCGCACAATTATGGTGCGGTCCGCATACCTTCAGCCTTCCTAAAAACTCAACTCTCTAAATCTACTTGACTGCGTCCGCATAATAATTGTGCAGTCCGCACTATAGGCCTTGTTGCCCTGATTTGGTTCTTGTTCACTTTTGACTCCTTTATGAGTTGATTTTGGCTTCTTTGGCTCGTTTCCCAATATTCCTATACAAAAGCACATTTCATTAGTTCTTGGGAATACCTTTAAGCAATTTTTAGCTAAAACGCAAGTAAATAAGAGCAAATAAGCAGTCAAAAACCCTATTTATCAACTCCCCCAAACTTAAGCTTTTGCTTGTCCTTAAGCAATTAAGGCAATTCCCATCTCCACTAGAAAAAGGGATATTTCAGCTGGCCTAAGGTGAATCAATTACATATCAATTGGGACCAACAATTACCCACAACACATATGAATTATCAACAACTCAATGATTTGACTTTTTGAGTATAATAGTTCTAATGTGACACTAGAGCATCAAGAGTTGACTCTATTCATCAAGGAATCTCGCTCTTTCACGTAGGTCATTGTGGATCCCAAACTCCTCCTCCTCTACTATCTATTAGCAAATCTCACTTTAGAATGTAGCACTCAAATCAAAGATTGTGAAAAGTTCGCTCATCTCTCTCAAAAGAATGCCACAAGTCCGGCTCTAAGTACCATAAGTTTGCCCCTCATGTAAATCACCACTAATGTAAGCTCACTCAACTTGAAATCATGTAGGGCTTTTTCGGGATGTAATGAAGGCTTTTGGATCAAGGTAGGTCTTGATGAAATAGAATGGTTCATCTTTCCTTAAGCACTCCATTTTCTCATTTTAGCTCATACTTTGTGATAACTGGGGATTCTAATTTATTTTATACTCCTTTTTGCTTGAGTTTTTGATTAGAAATGTATACAAGTAATCCCAAAAGCTTACATGTTGTGCTTGTTTGAAGTGTTTGGTCAAAAAAAAGTGATAAGAAGTCAAAACCAGCTCAAAAAGGAGTGAAACCTGCACAAGTGCCAAGGACAAGTCAAAGCACCGCTGCAACATAAAATACACTGCGGCTGCAACAGACCCACCGCGGCCGCAGTCCATTTAGTGTGGTCCGCAGTGGCAAAGATCAGAGAGGATACTATTTTGGAATTTAAAGCAACGCGGTCCGCGGTCGATTCTTCGCGGTTGTGGTAGCCTCATCGCAGCCGCATTCCATTTGTTGCGGTCCACGGAGAAGGGATTCAGAGAATGAAGTTTGGAAGATTCAAGACATTGCGGTCGCATTCCATTTCTCACGGTTCGCGGTGAAGCCACCACAGCCGCGGTCCATTTATTGCGGTCCGCGGTGGCTGGATTTAGAGAACAGAAAATTGAAGCTAAAAGCCCATCGCGGCCGCGCTCCATTTCTTGCGACCGCGATACCTCCATCAGGGGTATTTTTGTCCAGAAAATTCGGCCTTGTATAAATACTTCTTTTTCAGATTTTTAGGGTATCTTTATCTTAGCTGAGCACGTGAAGGCCGTTTCGGACCTATTTTGAGTAATTTTGTAGCAGGTTCAACATTGAATCTTCAAATCTTAGCTTGTGATTATATCATATGGGTTATTCTTCATCTAAATATCTGATTTCTTCCATTATTATGAGTAGCTAGACCCATTAGCTAGGGCTGTGGCTCAACCCTACTATGGAAATTTGATGGGTCTTTTGTTTTAGGGCTTAGATGTTTATGGGTGGTTGATATTTGGACTATTTGTGTTTTCCATATTGAATTAGTGGGTGCAAACACTAATTTGTGCCTTTTTGATTTGGGCTCTTCTTGAGAAAGAGAGCTTGAGTCTAGGAAAATCAGTCCAACAAGGAATTGGGGTGTATTCAAGAGATTGATAGTCTCAATTAAAGGGTTAAATCTAGAGATTGTAATACCCGACTTGAGCCTATATTGCTTGCTCAATTTTGACACCCAATTGATCTTGAGAAAGTCAATTAGGGCAAAGTCACTCAAGCTACCGAGAGGTATAGAGTGACTAGTGTCGTGCATTGGCTATATCACAATCCCAAACATAACAACTTTGCCTTAGGCTTTAGAACCCGTCAAGTATTCACCTAGGAGAAAGTCACTTCCCTAGTGCCTCGTTAACCATTTAGAAAACCTTACAAGCATTTATACTTAGCTTAATTCCGCACATCATTAGTATAAAATTAGAAGTAACAAACAAACAATTATGATTGGAAGTGTAATCAAGAGCACTACATACTGCTAGTTTAGATAGGAATCCAACTCCAAACATTCTAGCTCCCTGTGGATTCGATCCCGACCTTCTCGGGTAAAAGCTGCATCGACCGCTCTTGCCACTTTGTGGTGGTGTAGGGTTTGACCCGATCACTTTTTGGCGCCGTTGTCGGGGAGCTAACGGTTTTGGCTATCCATCTAAATAGTTTTGTCCATCGTTTTTCTTTCCTTGTGTGATACTAATTTGTGTGTGACGCCAATTCAGGTATAAAATGGCGGCAAACAACAACAATGACCCTCTTGGAAATGTGGTCTCAGGGGAGGAGGTTGATGATAACGGTGATGATGAGGTGCCTTTTGTACCTCAAGGACAAAGGAGAGGCCGATAGGCTAATGATAATAATATTCCAGACCCTCCCCCGCCACCTCCCAGAGTTGTACCTCGAGTGCTTCCCAACCAAGGATATGCTAGTGCAAT